TTCTTTTTCGGATCCACGGCTAGTTTATGTACCACCAGATCAGGACTAATGCCTGGCATTTCATGGACTTCGAATGCAAAGATGTCCTTGTATTCTTTCAATAGTTTGTGAAAGTCGTCACCAAGGTCTCTCAGAGCAGTCGTCCCAACTTTGACTGTTCGCTCAGGACGTGAGTCGTCTAAGATCAAGTCTGTATGCTCACCAGGCGGCTGAGGGCGGAATTCATCCGACCGCTCCTCTGCCAATGATTGCTATTTTTTGTTTTTTCTTGCGGCCCCTGTCTGGGATGCCTTTCTCTTCTTGCCGCCTGCTCTTTGAACAGGCGCACTCTCCTTGACTTTGTCAAGGTCTGTTTTTCCACCAGTCGACCCAGTGGCCATAACAGTGGGCTTGACATCCGAAAGATAGCACTCTCGGGCCATCCTCTGATCTCCCCTTAGGGACCCGACTGTTCCATTATCCCTCTCAAACTTGAGCAACATAAGAGATGGGATTATAACAGCCTTGGAATTATTCAGGGTTGGTCGTCCCAGAATCATGTTGTAGGCCGAGAGCTCTTCTACTACCAGGAACCGGACTACCACGTGTCGTCCTTCCCCTTTTTCGCCCAGACGGATGGGTAAATCCACTCGTCCCACTGGGTGGACTCCTCCTCCTCCAAACCCTACTAAAGGGTGGGAGGCCGGATGTATGCAGTCAGTCTGATATTTTAGTTTCGACAGACATTTGCTACTGATGAGATCTGAGGAGCTTCCGGTATCTATGAGGATTCGGCCAACTCTCTGGTTGGCCACTTTACATTCAATAACGATAGGATCGTCATGCGGCCCTCTTACCCCTCCTAGATCTTCTTCAGTGATGACAATCTCAGGAAATGAATATTTGGACGGCCGTTCTTGGTGAACGGAATTTACATCTAACCGCCTGATATTGTCTTTGTTGCCCCTAATAGTGGGGCCGCCTCCTGAGAAGCCGCCTGCAATGGTGTAGACGACTGCATCATCTGTATCGGAGCTGTCGGCCTGTTGATTCTTTTTGGCCGACTGCTTTTTTGAGGAAGTGTTCCCCGTAGATTTCTTGACATAAGTGTCAAGATCACCTTGCTCAGCCAGGCGGTCCAGATACCGCATGAGACTGATGCAGTCATTGGTGTGATGACCAACATCTTCATGATAAGCACAGAATTTTTCTTGGTTCTGGTTGTTTGCAGAACCCTTCATGGGGACCGGCTTCTCAATTGAGATCCGTCCCTTGATTTCTTTTAGGATAAACTGGTTATCCTTGTTAAACGCATACTTTGGGGAGTATGGATTGAATTCTTTTTTCTTTTTCTGGGACGGCTGTTTAGAGGAATCAGCCGCCCAGACCTCTTTTCTTTTCTCGTCTTTGTTTGACGACTATTTCTGTCGTCCTTCTCTTTTGTCGAACCTTTTCCCGTCCGACTGTTTTACCGTACAAAGATCAGTCGCCTGTATATAGGCTTCCGCTTCAATCAAGGCCTCTTGAAGAGTCGCCACCCTTTTTCGGACCAAACCAAATTTGAAGGTCGACCCGTCTTTGAGACCTCTGAAAAAGTCACTATAGGCTACCTCATCCGGTAACCCTTGAATCTGTATTCTCATCAGGTTAAAACGCCTGATGTAAGAACGAAGCCCCTCCTTCTCGCCCTGCTGAATTGTTCCTAAATCAAGGGTCGTCTTCTTTGCAGGGATGTTCATGGCGAAGTTGGAGGTGAATAAGTAAGCAAGCGTCCTGAAGCTATTTACACAACCAGTCGGCAGGTTGCCGAACCATTGTTGTGTGATTCCTTTGAGAGTCGCTGGGAAACACTTGCACCAAGTGGGATCATCCAACCCTTGAAGGTACATCAGGTTGGTAAAGGCCATAAGATGGTCTTCTGGGTTAGTAGTGCCGTCATAGGCGCCTACTAATACATTTTTCACTTTGGCCGGCTGAGCGGCTTCAGTAATTTCCTTGGAGAAAGCCGACGGCTGTTCACCAAGTCTAAGCAACCGTAGCTGTCAGTCCATAGGTTGGACATTTTTTGCTGCAGGTCCACCAAACGGAGGTGGCTGTAAGAAATACTGTTGTTGCGGCACAAACGGTAAGTTTGGTACCGCCTGGTCGCTATGAAAGTCGGACTGACGGGAGGTGCCGCCTGACTGACTCTCATGATACGACTGCGTATGCCTCATTGAGGTATTTCGCAGACTGTCTTGGAAGTTTGAAGTAGAGGCCGACTCTGACAATCGGTCACTCTTCTTCTGCTCTAGCAGTAGCCGAGCGTCTGTGTATGATTTCCTCGACCCGTCCGCCTGAATATGACGAACAAGTTTCCTATTTCCTGGAGTAGGAAAACGGTATTTTGTGAAATCAAGGGCAGTCGGCTCCCGCTTCCTAGATTTAGGATGAGGAGTCGCCTCTCGCCCTTGAACTGGCTTCCTCTTCAGTGAAGTGGAAGGTTTCTTAGCCGACTGCTCCTTGTCCAGAGCAGGCGGCTTCTTGTTGATCAACTCTTGAATTTCTCCCTTGAAGTCCCTCATGAAGGTCATGAGTTCGTTCCTTGTGATGGGAGCAGACCCATCAGTCGGCTGCTGCCAAACAGGTGGTGCTCCTGCTGGCTCACTTCCAGTTTGAAGATGTTCCCGTTCCCTCCTTTCGGTATGACGGGTACGTCGGGCCCTTAGGGTCCCGTCTGAAGCTGTGTGAGCTTCAACTTCAAATTCACTCTCAGTATCGTGGTCCGACTGAACTTGAGGGTCGTCTAGGGGACGCCTCTCTTCAGGAGTCGGTACAGACTTGGATGCCATCTCAGAAGTACTCTCCCCACAGACGGCGCCAAATGTTTCGGGGTTTTCTGATGTCCTGCGGGAGAGTTACAATTCCGAGACTGGAACCGGACGCCTGTACCTGCAAAACAACGGAGACTCCTGGTGGTGGGAGCTCCGCCTCCAACGGTCAAGTTAGTACTTGATTAAGGAGTAATTAATGCGGAAATTAAAGTGATTGGGTCTCTCTAGGTGAGAGTGTTTAATGTAGGTAATCTGCTTTGTTAGCGTGATCAGCCTGTTATCTCTGTGTAATTTCTGTAATCTCCCTTAATGAGGATTAAGGGAGGTATTTATAACCTTGGGAAACGTGCTAATCCTAGGTTTAGGTTAACCTAGGGCTGATTGGGCTTCCCTCGGAAGTTGGGCCTGGGTGGCCGGTTTCTCCATTAGGCATGGAGTATGCCACGTGTCATGACATAATAGGTCCAAGGTGGACGAATAAGCGTGTGCCACGTGGCAAGCCCTGACAGTTCCAATTGGGGGACACTTGGCAGGACCTGATTGGCCCACGTGGCGCATTCCGATTGATGGGAGCAAAATCCCCTAATCAAGTCTTATTAGGGTATTAGGGACGTGAACAAGTGCCAAAGTCAAGAGGACTTTTAATCAACCTTAATTACTACCTCAAACTACGATGAAATTAGCTAAAACCTACAAATGAAATTTTAAGTTAGGACCTTAAGTAATAAAGAGATGTTGATAACAATGAGAAAGTGAAATTAATAAAAATAACTTTTAAATAATAAAAATGAATTGTTAACTAAATTATTAAATTGTTTATTGGATAATGCTAAAAGATGTCCCAACGTCTGTGCTAAACTCTGACTTTTTAAAATTCATTACTCGTACTTTAAATAAATAAATAAATAAATAAATAAAATAATAATAATAATAATAATAATAATAATAATAATAATAATAATAATAATAATAATAATAATAATAATAATAATAATGATGAATCATCCATGTCAACAATTAACAAATGAATCGGTTTACCTTTTTTTAAAAAAATTTATGCATTAATGATAAACCACTACTAACTCAACTAGGGATTAATTCTACTAAACACCTTCTTCAATTAACAATTTCATATTAGATTTATGCAAACTATTCTTCTACATACCAAGTATTATTTCTTCACTTCATTCACTCTTAAACCGCTAATTGAATCAAGAATTAATTTGACAAAACCGCAAATAAATCTTAAACAAAAACCTCATGTGTTGGTGTATATAAAGGCCAATTCTTATCCAACTTTAGCCAAAATGAAAAAAAAAAATAAAGAATTTAATTAGCTAAAGATCGAGTTTGATGGTAAATTTCCACTTTGAGCAGAATCCTCCGACAGCTACGTCTAATGGATGAAAAATAAATTATTGAACCCAAATATATTGGGCCCATTTGGGTCACTATCATCCTTTTTGGCCCAAATTAGGGACCACGTGGCCCATTAAAATCCCCTTCATTAACTAATGATTTCCTCTAAATCATACGTAAGATAAATCATATTCATCTCAAAATCTTGTAGTCTTCATGTTAAGCTAAAAAGATTAGAAAGATGCATTTGTCTCTTTCCCTTTAATTGACAAAGTGTCTTAATTAAGCCTTTACCTTTTTCTTTGTTTATTTGATTATGATTTTTATGTTTGTAATAATTATTATTAAGTTGTTTTTGTATTATTATATGGAATGATTATGATATGCTTCACCAACTCGTGCGGGTTAAAGCTTTTTAAAAAGAAGCCAAGGCTTCAATGTCTTCTTAACTTGTGTTTGTTGCTTTTCTTTCTATATATACTTGTAGTCATCATTAAAACTTGTACACCTTCCGAGTTCTAAAATTATTCTATCCGTCTTAGTTTAATTGCTCCATATATCTCCATTATAAAATCATGTACCCGTATTCAATACAAGGATTAAAGTGGCATACATCAAAATTATTACTTCGTATATTGTGGTATTACAAGGATCATCAAAATGAATCTTGTGCAAGACACTTCACTCGACTTAGGTTCGCACTCATACTATTTAGCAGAGGCGTGGATGAAGACATGCGATGGCGGCTAACACACTAAGATCAACCATATTGTGGAGAATCCGACAACGATAGAAAATAAAAGTAAAAATTAAATTAGGACGTAGAGACTATGCCTATAAACCACATTATTAATAATAAAAACTATTGTTAAGCCACCATACTTGATAAGTTCATAGTAATACATTATCACTCAAAACTGAGTACAGCTAAATACTTCGTAAATAATATATAGTAACAAGTTTAATAATAATAATGTACTCCGTAATACTAATAATAAACTACAAATTAATATATAAAATAAAAGTTAAAAACTATCCACATTTCTGCTTTTCCACATTATTTCTTCTGAGTTCATTCACCTCATGAAACAAAAAATTAAATAAAACAAAGCAAAAATCTTTGCCACATAAACTAAATTAATTAACTAGACACAACAAAAAATTTTAATTAATTAGGAAAAAAAAAAACCTTTTTTTAGACAATAATAAGATGTCTGGTATGAAATTCCAAAATTACCCTCGCCACTCGTTACACTGCGCAGTAGGTCGTGTCTTGGCATCCCCAGCCTTCAACGGGCAAGCTGACTGTGTTGGTGGGACCATACAATTATACTGTAAACACAACACACTACTTAGAGGAATCTCAGCCGTCTGATTCATCTGAAATCCTGTCAGATAGTTATGCTGTAAATATAACGTTTGTATCGTTGCATCCATCAACCGATCCACAAAGCTCTCCGGAACCGAACCGAAGAACCGGTTATTGTTCAGAAATAGGTTCTGGACCGTTGATAGCATCGGCGAAACTTGGCCTGATAACCTGTTGTAGCTCAAATCTATGGTTGAAATTGTTACTTGTGAATCAGGCTGAACCGGGCCGAAGAACTGGTTTCTTTGTAGTTGGAGGTTGGAAATTGGGAAGGTAAATATTTGACATGGGATTAAACCGGTGAATTGGTTCATGCTTAAGTCGAGGTAATTCAACCGGTTTAGATTGGGTAATGTGTTGAAAACAGGTCCGGTTAGCTTGTTCCACCCAAGCGAGAGGTACTGAACCGAAGGCGGGAATGAGTCGGATTGAAGAGGACCGGTTAGATTGTTGTGCATCAAGTCGACTCGTGTTAGCGAGTTTGAGATGAAAGAAGGCAACGGACCGTCAAGGTGGTTATGACAGAGTATAAGGTTCGAAAGAACCGGTAGTGAACCAAGAGGTCGAGGGATCGAACCGGTAAGCTGATTGTAGCTTAAGTCAAGAGTGTGCAAACTTCTTAGCTCTCCAAAACCAGCAGGAATATCACCGTTTAGGAAATTCCTACTAACGGCGAAAAACCGAAGATTCGGCAACTCCGATATTGTACCGGGGATTCGACCCATGACCCGACCCGGAACAATAGTGAACTCCGCGAGCGAAGACAGTTTCCCGATCGCCGGGTCAATCCGGCCAGTTAGGCCCGGTGATCCAGCCCGTGGGTCGCCGAGGTTGAGCGCGATGACCTTGTCGGAATCACAGTAAACTCCGGGGAAGTTACACGGGTCGGATGTGAAGTCCCATGACTGAAAGAAATTCGACCCCGGAACATCTCGTAACGATTTCCGTATCGATTGCAACGCTAGGAAATCAAGCGGGTCTAGAATCGCCACTGATAGAAAACAACATTTTTGCAACCATATCATCAATAGGAAAACCACCGCCTTCCTCCAACAACAACCCATCATATTCAATAAAACGAACCAGACAGATTATCGAAATAATTGAAATACAATTATGAATGAATATATTATATATATGAGTGTATTTAATCTGTTAGTTATAATTTGATGATCATATATATAGAAGGAGAAGAAGAGAAAGAATGGGGTAATGGGAGACAAAAGTTCAGAGAAATTTGCTTTTCCGTGAGGAGCTTACCAAACTTCTCGTGTAGGCTTTAATGGAGAAGACAGACAAAGCCAAGTAAGTGAAAGAAAAAAAAAAAAAAAAAAAAAAAAAAAAAAAAAGATATAATTAGCTTATCAAAGAAGCAAAACAAAGAAAGGTAAGAGAGAGAATGAAATTGTAGTATTTGTTGTTCTGCAACTTTTTGTTAAGTTGGCTTACAAGAGAAGAGGAAATGACTACTTCCAACTGCTATACTTGGAACTAACATCAACATGAGCAAATTTTTATTTATTTTATTATTATTTTAATGGGGTTTGGGTTTTGTTACGGGGATTTGAGTTAGGGGACCAAACGGTTGTCCGAGCCTACATGGCAATGGTGTTATTAGGTTCGGTTGCCATGTCAGCATGGTTAGTGTGTTGTAGTAAACGAGGACCACGTGAATTGGCGGTTAGCTGATACTACTATTAGAGGAGGAAACAGCTCATCTTCTACCAAAAGCTATTGACAATATTTATCCCTTTATTTTGTTTTCCTTTTTGTTTTTAGCTTTTTTTCTCGTGAAGTCTTTTTCTAATGTTAGACCATTTTAGTACCCCTTTTGCTTTCTTTGAAGTGGATTGACACCATAGTACTATTGATTTTTCCAATTTGACAAAATATTTGGATTATTTTCTTTGGTGTTTTTGTTTTACTTGTAATTGTAACATACTTGGACTCGTCCGTTCATCAATAAATAATTGCGTCATTTGATATTTCATTTGATAAAGTATGGAGTGATTTTAGATTCAATGGTCAAAATTTTAAATGAAAAAATGGTGCATTTATTTAGTAATGAAGGAAGTATTGTATTTCCATGTATTCTAAAGAAGTGATAACATGATATAAATTAGCTTTAGTAATTCGTTTAATTAATCCTTTACACTCACTGAGATAATTTACAGTCTCAAAAATTCAACTCTTCCAATATATTCTAAGTGATTTTAATTGATAATATATTAAAAAAAAAAAAAAACTTTGTCGTCCCTTATCTCTCCTCCCGTCTGGCCTTTTCTCTTTCGAGGGGTTTTTCAAAGTTAATTTTCCATAAGTCTTCATGTTTTGTTATTAATGTCAATAAGGTCTGCTCACTTCACCTTAAAAAAATAATATTAAGTAAAAATAATTTCAATTCAGCAAAAATAAGTTTAGTAAAATTAATTTCACTTCAGTAAAAATAAGTTTAGTTCAGTAAAATTAAGTTTTTTTTAAAAGAAGAATTATAATAGAAAATCAGTAAAAAAATAATTTTAGTTCAACAAAAATAATTTTAGTTCAGTAAAATAAATGTAAGTTCTGTAAAAATAATTTAAGTTCAGCAAATATAATTTTGTTTCAATAAAAATAATTTCAACAACAAAAATAAGGTGAAGTGAACGGGGCCTAAACCTACATTCTTTTAGTGTAAGTGTCCCTATGGTAAGTTTTTTTTTCAAGTTCAGTTGTTTGAGTTTAGTATAGTACAAGTTGTTTCATGGGTAAATATTTATGTGAGATTAAGAATCAGGTTAATATTTCAATTCCAAACAGATGAATCAGACGATAATTTTATAATGACTACTGATTAGGGGATTTTGCTCCCACCAATCACCATCTGACAAGTGGACCAATCAGGTTCCGCCATGTGTCCGTCACATGAGCCAATAGGAACCTGCCACGTGTCAAGCAATGATCCGTCCACCTTGGACCAATTACGACACGACGCGTGTCCTTCCCATGACACCTGGGATAACCGGTCACCTAGGCCAAACTTCCGAGGGAAGCCCAATCAGCCCGAGGTTAACCTAAATCTAGATTGGCACGTTTTCCGAGGTTATAAATACCTCCCTTAATCCTCATTAAGGGACAGGACAGGCTGATCACGCTAAAAAAGCAGATTACCTACATTAAACACTCTCACCTAGAGAGACCCAATCACTTTAATTTCCGCATTAATTACTCCTTAAACAAGTACTAACTTGATCGTTGGAGACGGAGCTCCCACCACAAGGAGTCTCCGTTGTTTTGCAGGTACAGGCGTCCGGTTCCAGTCTCGGAATTGTAACTCTCCCGCAGGACATCAGAAAACCCCGAAACATTTGGCGCCGTCTGTGGGGAGAGTACTTCTGAGATGGCATCCACGTCTGTACCGACTCCTGAAGAGAGGCGTCCCCTAGACGACCCTCAAGTTCAGTCGGACCACGATACTGAGAATGAATTTGAAGTTGAAGCTCACACAGCTTCAGACGGGACCCTAAGGGCCCGACGTACCCGTCATACCGAAAGGAGGGAACGGGAACATCTTCAAACTGGAAGTGAGCCAGCAGGCGCACCGCCTGTTCGGCAGCAGCCGACTGATGGGTCTGTTCCCATCACAAGGAACGAACTCATGACCTTCATGAGGGACTTCAAGGGAGAAATTCAAGAGTTGATCAACAAGAAGCCGGCTGCTCTGGACAAGGAGCAGTCGGCTAAGAAACCCTCCACTTCACAGAAGAGGAAGCCAGTTCAAGGGCGAGAGGCGACTCCTCATCCTAAATCTAGGAAGCGGGAGCCGACTGCCCTTGATTTCACAAAATACCGTTTTCCTACTCCAAGAACTAGGAAACCTGTTCGTCATATTCAGGCGGACGGGTCGAGGAAAACATACACAGACGCTCGGCTACTGCTAGAGCAAAAGAAGAGTGACCGATTGTCAGAGTCGGCCTCTACTTCAAACTTCCAAGACAGTCTGCGAAATACCTCGATGAGGCATACTCAGTCGTATCATGAGAGTCAGTCAGGCGGCACCTCCCGTCAGTCCGGCTATCATAGCGACCAGGCGGTACCAAACTTACCGTTTGTACCGCAACAACAATATTTTTTACAGCCACCTCCGTTTGGTGGACATGCAGCAAAAAATGTCCAACCTATGGACTGGCAGTTACGGTTGCTTAGACTTGGTGAACAGCCGTCGGCCTTCTCCAAGGAAATTACTGAAGCCGCTCAGCCGGCCAAAGTGAAAAATGTATTAGTAGGCGCCTATGACGGCACTACTAACCCAGAAGACCATCTGATGGCATTCACCAACCTGATGTACCTTCAAGGGTTGGATGATCCCACTTGGTGCAAGTGTTTCCCAGCGACTCTCAAAGGAATCGCACAACAATGGTTCGGCAACCTGCCGACTGGTTGTGTAAATAACTTCAGGACGCTTGCTTACTTATTCACCTCCAACTTCGCCATGAACATCCCTGCGAAGAAGACGACCCTTGATTTAGGAACAATTCAGCAGGGCGAGAAGGAGGGGCTTCGTTCTTACATCAGGCGGTTTAACCTGATGAGTACAGATTCAAGGGTTACCGGATGAAGTAGCCTATACTGACTTTTTCAGAGGTCTCAAAGACGGGTCGTCCTTCAAATTTGATTTGGTCCGAAAGAGGGTGGCGACTCTTCAAGAGGCCTTGATTGAAGCGGAAGCCTATATACAGGCGACTGATCTTTGTAGTACGGTAAAACAGTCGGACGGGAAAAGGTCCGACAAAAGAGAAGGACGACAAAAACAGTCGTCAAACAAAGACGAGAAGAGAAAAGAGGTCTGGGCGGCTGATTCCTCTAAACAGCCGGCCCAGAAAAAGAAAAAAGAATTCAAACCATACTCCCCAAAGTATGCGTTTAACAAGGATAGCCAATTTATCCTAAAGGAAATCAAGGGACGAATCTCAATTGAGAAGCCGGTCCCCATGAAGGGTTCTGCAAACAACCGGAACCAAGAAAAATTATGTGATTATCATGAAGATGTTGGTCATCACACTAATGAATGCATCAGTCTCATGCGGTATCTGGACCGCCTGGCTGAGCAAGGTGATCTTGACACTTATGTCAAGAAATCTACGAGGAACACTTCCTCAAAAAAGCAGTCGACCAAAAGGAAACAACAGGCCGACAGCTCCGATACAGATGATGCAGTCGTCTACACCATTGCAGGCGGCTTCTCAGGAGGCGGCCCCACTATTAGGGGCAACAAAGACCATATTAGGCGGTTAGATGTAAATTCCGTTCACCAAGAACGGCCCTCCAAATATTCATTTCCTGAGATTGTCATCACTGAAGAAGATCTAGGAGGGGTAAGAGGGTCGCATGACGACCCTATCGTTATTGAATGTAAAGTGGCCAACCAGAGAGTTGGCCGAATCCTCATAGATACCGGAAGCTCCTCAGATCTCATCAGTAGCAAATGTCTGTCGAAACTAAAATATCAGACTGATTGCATACATCCGGCATCCCACCCTTTAGTAGGGTTTGGAGGAGGAGTCGTCCACCCAGTGGGACGAGTGGATTTACCCATCTGCCTGGGCGAAAAAGGGGAAGGACGACACATGGTAGTCCGGTTCTTGGTAGTAAAAGAACTCTCGGCCTACAACATGATTCTGGGACGACCAACCCTGAATAATTCCAAGGCTGTTATAATCCCATCTCTTATGTTGCTCAAGTTTGAGAGGGATAATGGAACAGTCGGGTCCCTAAGGGGAGATCAGAGGATGGCCCGAGAGTGCTATCTCTCGGATGTCAAGCCCACTGTTATGGCCACTGGGTCAAGTGGTGGAAAAAAAGACCTTGACAATGTCAAGGAGAGTGCGCCTGTTCAAGAAGCAGGCGGCAAGAAGAGAAAGGCATCCTAGACAGAAGCTCAACCTGGATGGATCCAATCAGGACTCTGACAAACGGTACCCTGCCGGATGATCATATTTCTTTTGAATGATGTAAATAGTCAAGGGCTACTTAATAAAAGTTTGCATGCTTAATATTCAATTTTGTACTAAGAGGGGCACGCCTACTAACAAACAGTCGGCTACTCTCCATGTTTAATTTTTATTCTTACTTAAGAGGGGCAGGCCGCCTATACATTTACAGTCGGCTACTCTCCATTAGGCATTTTACTGTCCAGAGGGGCATGCCGTCTGTACCTTTACAGTCGGCTACTCTCCATTGAGTATATTACTCTTCAGAGGGGCATGCCGTCTGTACCTTTACAGTCGGCTACTCTCCATTGAGTATTTTACTCTATCTTCAGAGGGGCATGCCGTCTGTACCTTTACAGTCGGCTACTCTCCATTGAGTATTTTACTCTATCTTCAGAGGGGCATGCCGTCTGTACCTTTACAGTCGGCTACTCTCCATTGAGTATTTTACTCTATCTTCAGAGGGGCATGCCGTCTGTACCTTTACAGTCGGCTACTCTCCATTGAGTATTTTACTCTATCTTCAGAGGGGCATGCCGTCTGTACTTTTACAGTCGGCTACTCTCCATTGAGTATTTTACTCTATCTTCAGAGGGGCATGCCGCCTGAACCTTTATAGTCGGCTACTCTACATTGAATATTTTACTCTCACCATAGGGGCATGCCGTCTGGACATATAGTCGGCTACTCTCCATAGAAGAAGGCCGACTGGTTCCAAACACACAGCCACCCCCCCTTATACTTAGCTAAAAAAGATTAGGGGCTGGCCGACCCTGTGCCTAAACAGGCGGCTACCCTCCTCTTACTTAGCACCTACGTTCACCAAGAACTAACCAAGGCCACAAGCCGAATGATCAGACCAGGCGCCAAGCCAACTGATCCAATCTTCAAAACTAATACGACCTGTCCCAACATCATAGCAGGCGTCCGGCGGCATCCCTCCGGATGAAATTCGTCGCAGAGAGCAGCTCCCTTTTGGGTGGAACATTGCTCTATAAACTAATTACACGGCACCTATACGACTGTCCCCAAGGGCAACCACGTAGCCGTTTTTGAGACAAGGATAACTCTATCACTAACCAAACCAGTGGTAGCAGTTGACATCTGAGTCAGATGACCGCCTGTATTACTTGGGATAAATGCAGGGGGTACCTCTTGAGTTAATAGCCAACAAACATTGGCGAATCAAAAGGATCAGCCGGTCTCCGCCGCCTGGTACCTTTACTACTCAAGCAGGAGTGACGGCGACTGAGTAACTCCAAAGTTAACTCATAGTCACTCTCTCAAACTTAGTATGGAGCCTAAAAGGTATGAGTCGTCCGCCTGTTTTTAGCAAACAGGGGCTCTCAACCACTACTCCTGCTAGGTTAACAACCTATGAGTTAAAAGCCAA